CAGCTCAGTTTTTCTTTTTAATTATTCAATATTGTCCTAAAAGTCAAAGGACAAAAGTATAATTAGTCAATAAAGCCAAAGTATTTTGTTTATGTTTTTGTTTCGGATGGAGCACAAGGCCTCATACGTGTTAGGCAAGCACTCTACCACTGAACTACAATCCCCAGCAAAGTAAAAATTTTAAACATGTTAAATATAAATTAAATCTTCCTAAGTGTTTTTATAAAAAGTGAAATGATTCAATTTTAGTATTTGAAGTCCATCATCATACCAACGTGACAAATTATCATTAGTATCAGGTTTCACATGTTCCGTCTAGGCCTATATTTATATACAAGTCCAAAAGTGAGATGAATTTTGTAATATGGGAAATGTTCCTAGCTGTCATGTGTGTGCAACTGTTGCAACATGTCACTAGCTTGTGAGTTCCTAGGAAGTGAGAATTGAAACAAAAAGAAAAGAAAGAAAATGGATCCTCCTGTATTCCAGGGAAATACTTTGTAATACAAGTATAAACTACCTGCCAGGGGAAAGAAGAAAAAGTGGAAAAGCGAATTGTTCTACCTGCAGGGAAAGGAGAGAGGAAAAGTTCATTGTTCATTTCTCTTACTTGTTGCTCCTTCCACTCATTTCCTCCCTACACTCCAGCTCCTACACAGACAGTAACCAAATACCACCACAGCTGGATCAGTCCTGTAGAGCTATGCACCAAACAAGGTCAAAAACAACGCTTGAAAGAACGCTGGTGTATTAATTATCTGAAAACTGGCCTAAGATGTTCTTTTGTTGGTTTTGCCAAGGCTCCTTCTAACACGTGTCTTTTTCTGCAAATACACACAAGTTTCATTGGGGGGTATATTCCACTCTGAAGAATTCTTAAAATCAATTTTACATCTTTATGGTATTCTTGTAGGGAATGATAGAATGCTGGCGGTCCTTCCTCCAGGACATCTATGTCTTAAACTTCAGCGTTCTAGAAGTCACCTGGGGAGCTTGTCTAAAATGTGGACCACTGGGTCTCCTCCCCAGAAATTCTAACTATGTAGAAGTTCAGGAAACTGCATCTGCTAGAGGCTTCCAGGACCAATAGTGTAAGATATACTGGACTATGCCAGGACCCTACCTTTGACTCCACGGTAATAGTACAGGTCCTGTTTCTCAGTGCAGTCTCTGCTGATATCCCTATCCTTCTGCACATTGATCCAGCAATTCTCCTTATCAGCTATACATTTAAATTGCTTGAAAAACCTTCTAAAAAATGATTGGTGGCTGTGCCTCACCTAAAGCAATGAAGCCAGACTCCCTGGAAGTGAGGCCCGAGCTACCAGTGACATTTTAAAGCAACCCAGTAGATTTGACTGTGCAATCAAAGCTGAGGACAACTGTTCCAATCCATCTTCTGTCTCCAGTGGTCTTTCTTAGCACGGATTAAAGTATTTTAAGATTCCTTCTTTACTAGAACATATTCCAGCCTCTATTACAGAGAAGGCAAACTGGATACAGCTACAAGCACTTGGGTGGTGTACTGAGCAGCCAACTTTGCCCTGTTTTGCTGCCCACTGTAGATGAAGCACTCAGAGATGTAAAAGGAAAATGGCCCACATGCCCAGGAGGCTCAATAAAGGTGTGGCTGGTTAGGAAAGAGGATGCTGCGGGATCTGCCCAAGCAGTAGCCCCAAAGCTCTGTCTTCACATATAATTTTTCTTTTGATCAATTGTCACTGATGTGCCCTCTACATGGCTATGACATGATTGTTCCAATAGCAACTTTGCATTCTCAGAATTATCATTTTGAAAAACTGGAAGACATGAAATTGGATTTGAAACCTACCACTATCACAATAAATATCAAGTACACTGAGCAATAAAAGAAAAGGAAGAACTGCTGTTTCACTTAACTAAAAATTCAATGCTCATCTAACAGCCCAATAGTGGATATTATTTTTTTTTCAAATTTTCAGCACTTACTTGTATGATTAAAGTTTTCTATAATTGGTTACTGGCTAAAATATGAGGGAAAAAAATAAAACTTGAGTAGGAAATGTGTGCGCCATAAACTATTGCAAAAAATGTTTGCAATTTTAAAGGCTACAATCCACTTGACCTCAAGGTTTCATCAATAGCAAAATAAGAGTTTCCATTTACTCAAAAACCCCATGAAGTGGTTAAAAAGACAAACTTCATGTGGAGGATGTTTGCAACAACAACAACAAAAAACAATAAAGAACTGGTATCCAGAATGGATAAAAGAGGCCTGAAAATTATAAGGACAGAAGTTAGATCCCCAGAACTTACTTTATAAATGCAAATTCGTTTCCTTGGACCAACATCTCCCCATTCCTCTCAATTACTACGTCCAGTCTTTTGGTTCCCTTTGCCTCATAGAATACACAGCAACCTATTATCCACTTGCTTGCCTCCTAGCTAGAACGTAAGCTGCAGGAGGACAGGCAGAGGTCTTGATTAGTCATATTCCAAGCCAGTACAGAGCTTGGCATCTTATAGGCATTTCTTCAGTTTTGAGAGACCACCTACGTTCATCACTGATTTGATGAGGCAAGAAAGCCAGGTAGGGGCCATCATCTTACTACACACTCTGATCCCACACCGAGAGGTACATGTTTGGTGTTGAACTAGTTGTGTCCTGGGGGAGTTACTTAAGCTCTCCTGTCTTCACTGGCAACTGGGGATAACAGAATTTACACCTAACAGGACTGTTACATAGATTAAATTAACAGAAGGCAGATGCCTAGCATATTTTCAATTCTAAATGATCTCCATTATTAAACTTGAAAAACATGTCTTCCGGCAGGCCCCAGACCCTTGCTGTTTAGAACACAACAGTCGTCTTTGAGTAACTAGCAGTTTACACTTTACCACTCAGGTTGGAGCTTCTATCTGGCCTAAGTCTTTCTTAGAATCCAAACCCTCATGGTTATGTCTGGGGCAACTCCCCTTTGACTGGACTATGAAAAATTTCTAATCGATGTAATAAAGCTCTTGTTACCATTAACATAATTAGTGTTGGACTGTGACCTTTGGCACAGGAATCTTACACTAGATATACACACTTCCATTCTGGGTGGACGCCCATGTTCATGCTGACAGCAGAGTAGATTTACCTGCTAGAACAGAGAATATTATCTTCTCTGTTCAGAAAAGTCACAGAATAATAAATTCTTACATACTATTCTGTTTCCTGTATAACCTTAATAAGATTTTTCCAGAAACACGTTGATAGTAATGATTTTAAAAAATCTTCTTAAAATAATCATTGGCTATTAGGTTACTAAAACAGAATACATGAAAATAGATGGGTGGTGTACACATTCCACTACTTGGGAGACTGAAGCAGAAGGACTGACTGCAAGTTCAAGGCCAGCTGGGGCAACTTTGTGAGACTCTTATCTAAAAAAAAAAAAAAACAAAAAAACAAAGCCTGGGGCTGGGGATGTAGCTTAGTGGCTGGTAACTGTGAAGCCCTGGATTCGATCCCTCAGAAGTGGGGAAAAATAAAGACATTAGATGGTCCTTTCTTATTTATTTTGAAGACTATTCAGACACACCAGGCAGTTTTAAAAAGGGTAGAATTAATATTTTATTGTCATTTATAATCAGATGGCAATTGGGTATATAGCTTCCATACTTCATACTTTTTGTAAATTAAAAAAATTACAAGTTTTAAACAGCTGACGGCTGGTTACATTTTTCAGAAAACACGATTAGACAAATTCATTGATGGTGGCTTCGAGCTTTTCCTTATTAGCTCCAGAAAACTCACCCACCTGTGAAGGGAATATTGAATTGACGTTAGATGTGGCGTTACATCTCTACTTTGTACATATGATCACAGAATGAGGGAAGGATGGGGGAAGAAAAAGAAGCTTATTTAAATAAACTTCAATGAATAATAGTTCTTTTAAATTAAAAAGTCGAAAACAACAAAAAGAACAATCTTCAAAGTCAAAAGGCTCAAGTACAAGTTTCTAGCAGAACTACCTCTTAACAATGATGAACGGCCTGTTGATGTTTAAGAAATCCTACATACTTTATGATATAAATATAAAGCACCAATCACAGAGATTTAGAGTCTAGTTCTATCAAAGATCAGTTATCAGTTAGGTATCACATTATGTGAGTCAATGAAAAATGGCCTATTGGATACTCTTGAATGAAGAAATTAGTGATATGCTTCACCCTAAGAAGGGAAAGTCACTTCCATCGTTTCATTCATACCACATGCCCTCCTTTTGTCCTGCGAGTCTTCTTAAAGGTCAGATGTACATACCTTTTGACCCTTCTTAAAAAACTGGAAGGTAGGCATGCATTTGACTTCACAATCTGCAGCAACGTCCTAGGGGGGAAGGGCAGGTAGCAGGGGAGAAGATTAAAACAAGACTGAGGATTGAGCATTGATGAAACAGTCCCAAATCAGATTCCTTCTCATTATACACTCCATGTCTCTGCATTAAGACAATTTTAGCGATTGTCATGAATGCAATGGCAGCACAAAAGCCAAACTGGTTCTTCTTCAGAATTAGCAGTTCTTGCTTCTTATTTAGTCTCTCTAGTCTTATTATGGGGTTCCTACTTATGAATATACATACCTGTGCTAACTGATTCAATTTTCTCATCAACTCTAGAATTGCTGAAATAGGATGCTTATTTTAAAGCCTCCAGTTTATTATAAACTATTTTCCAGGGAACTTCTATCAGTTTACCAGTATTTACCTTGACTTTTGCCAGCTAGCTTAAGACCCTGCTTTAACCAGATCCTCTGGCCCTAATCTACCCCATCCTTTGAAAGCACAGGATTTATAGATTTTTGCATCAATCAAATATTTACTGATATTTAATGGCTATCATTTCTTCATGTTCAATATTTCCTACGATTTTTATTTTTGTATTTCTTCTAGATTTATTTGAAAATAAATAATGATACAACATTTTAATTCTATGATTAATTACTAATATGTGGCTACATAGACTTGGTTCTATTTTTGGGGGGCTTTCTAGTTTTTTCCTATGGATCAATGTACTGTGGTTACAGGATCACAATGTTTTAATTAATGCAGTTAATATATATGCTGTATTTATGAAGCTGAGGCTAACTTGTCTCCCTGGTTTGTTTTGTAAAAAAAAAAACTTCCTAGAATTTTCTTAGCAATACTGTTTCAGGACATCATGATCTGTTTTTGTTGAACGTGGGTTAAAGTTAGATAAATTTGGGAGTACTGATATTTTAATAATGTTGAATCAATGTCCATGAACACGGCATTATCATCTACTAAAATTATTTTATGGATCCCAGTAAAGTTTGATAGTTCTATTAACTATACCGAGTCTTTATTGTCTATTGCTAATGTCTTATTTTAAATTTATTTTTGTTGTCCAGTGTTTGTTTTTGCAGTACTGGGGACCCAGGGTCTCATGCTTGCTAAGCAAATGCTCTACCATTGAGCCACACACACCCCAGTCCTGGGTCTTTTTTTGTACTGGAGATTGAACCCAGAGGTGCTGTATTACTGAAATCATCCCCAGCCATTTTTAAATTTTATTTAGTTACATGAGACAGATTCTCACTAAGTTGCCCAGCTCCAGCATCACTTTTTTATTTTATAGACTACTTGGCTATCCTTATAGTGATTGGAAAGGCATGCACACTGTAGAAAAATTTTCCTTTGAGCTTTTAAAAAATTCTTAATCCTAAGTTGTGTTTTTGTTTTTTTTTTTTCCTTTTTAAAAACACCACTCCTTTCTTTAAAAACAGAAACCTGGCCTGGTTCCAATACCACCGTGTTGGAATTTGACAATCTGATAAATGCAACTTTCCACCAGCTGCCCCTGTAGTCAGTACTAAAGTCTGACTACCTGGCAACCATCAACCCATTGTCCTGTTATGGTTTTGCCCAATCTTAGATTTTTATTAGTAAACAGAATAGGACTCTGCTTAACCTTATGAAATTTAATTTCACTGGCTTCTAGGCTAACACTCCACCTCTATCCTTATCTCATTGCTGACTCTTGTTCCAACCCAAATCAAAACACATGGCATTCCAAAAGGTTGCAAAATATTCAGGTCTAAGCTACTTTGTTTCTTGTTTAATTTACAAAATAAGTATCACACCCTGTTGGCTGTCAAAGAAACAGGATCTATTCAAAGGGGGTAGTCCTCATATCTTTTTGTGAACATAAAATTATTTTCCTTGTGTATCACTTTACACATCCAAGTCAGTCTTCTAACTGTCCGTTTGCACCTGTTGTATCTACAAGATAATTTCTTCTTAAGAGTTTAGGGAACTATAAAAACCCCTGTGCTGCTCAATTTTTAGAATAGTGAAGCAAAATTAAAAGGCCCCAATTTGTCAGAGGGTCATTTCAAGTTTTGAATGATACTTTCAGGGTGATGGCAAGTGTGCCCCAAGCAGACATGAAGGAGGAAGGACTTCATGGGAAGTCCCCACCTGTTCTACGCATCCTACTTCCCAAAGGTTCAAGATGGAGGCAGGAAGAGCGCCTGTCTTTGGTAAAGTCTAGGGTGCTGCTCTGCTCATACATTAT